TGATGTGTCCACCCGCCTTATGGCTTTAAATCACAAGCTTCCAGATTTTGTTTTTAGATTCATAGACTGGAATTAATATGCTCTGGTATTTTTAAATTTGATGCGACACTGTAGGACAATCAATTGTATAATTTTATATCAAATATCGATATACGTACATGTACATAAAAAGAATTTTTTAAAAATGGGACTTCACATTAGAAAAAATCTAGAATTTATTTGTACATGTACTTGTTTATACATGTACTGTACATATTTTATTTCGATCGACATATCCGTTCGAACATAACCGTATACGTACGTACATGTACGTATGTACATGTACATTTATTTAGATCGACGAAGCATAGCCAGCCAGCCAGTGATCCGAAGTTTGCAAAGTTCATTTTGAATTTGATAAAAATTCTAAAAATGATTAATTCATTAAATTGTTTATGCAAAAAAAAATAAAAATTTAAACCATTTTGTCAAGAATACAAAAATCTCAATACCGTTTCAGTGATTTGTTCATATTGCAACGAAAAGGAGACTATGAATTTAAATGTGAAGTAACCGGATGCCTTAATCTAAAAAAAAAAACTCGCAATTTTATATGCTCTAAATGCACCTTAGCAGATAATAAAAGTGGTTTGTGTAAAAATTACAATCCAACTGGCATTTGCCTTAGTGTTGAATGCAACAGTGATGTTTAGAAGAGCAATATTGGTATATGCAAATGCTTTCTAACGAAATTAATGACGACGTGAAAAAAAGAACCAGAAACTACAAGACAGATGAATCCATTTGGAAATCAGAACAACATGTTAAAGATTTGATTTTAACGAGTTTTCTACTATCGAATATTTAGCAGAAGGAGGATTTGCTGAAGTATATTCAGCAAATCACTGTATGTTTGCAGATAAAAAGTTGCTTTAAAATGTTTAAGAATTCAAAAAAGCTTTCTATGGAATTTATAAACGAAGTAAGAAAATTATTAGTTTAATTTATTTATGTACATGTACTTCAAAAAAGGATTTTGTATCTGAAAGGATCCAAGCCTCCTATTGCAAGACATACAACTTGGTAAACTTTTGAAAAGGAATCCACTCAAAGAGTATATCACTTTTCATGCATTCATTTATTACAGTCGATATCTTTATTTTCGCTAGACCATAAATTCATTTGTGATAATTGAAATATACAAAGCAGGAATACATTTACTACTGTGATGTCGGTTAAACCAATTTTTCAAAAAATTTAGTTTTGGCCATTAGGTGGCTCAGCTACTTGCTTATAATAAACGCCTATTGTTAAGCTTTTCTTAAAAAAAGCCAATGAAATAACGGTAAAAAGAAACAGGATATTGTGTTGAAATGAGACCCACACCATTATAGAATTTTTTTGTGCATATTGTGTTTTTGTATGTACATGACACATGACACATGACACATAATGCATAACGATAAAAGAATCCTTTTACAGCGCAATTACGGGTGTGTAATTGTGGTTGCGGTCGAATAAAACTTGATTAATGTTTACATCAATAACGTCAATATAAATATCGCTTGATTCCACTCAATTAAAAAAGAACAGATTTGGTTCTGTTTTTCACTAATATTTACCTTTTTTTCTCGTTTCATTATTACGTACAACACCGATACACTATTTTTTTCCAAGTGTCGAAAATAGGAATGAAGTTCTTTTCAACATTCACAATACTCTCATCATGTGTCGCTGCTGTGTCAGCACACACATCAATAATTTATCCACTTCCACGAGGACACCCACAAAATCCCAACGCTGCCGTAAAAGATTACAACTGTATTATTGCGCCAATAACTCCAGCTGGGAATTGTACAACGAAGTCCTTTCCGTGTGGTGGCTATCCAATGGATACCAAAATCACACAAGTTTTCTATGCTGGTGATGTCATCAATGTGAAATTTTGGACTTCGGCACTTCCCAATGGTCC